ATCTCCACCAGGGTAGCAGGGAGTTTTTTCATATCAAATTTTGTAGGGATTTTTTCTTTGTTATTTGTAAAAAATTAAAAATAGGAATTTATTAATTCCATTCAATTTAAATATTTAACTTATACTTATTACTCATTTTTTATTTTAGTACAATACTAAAATCATTATTTTAAATTGAACGCAACTTAATACATTTTTTTGGTCTTTTAAACTATTTTCTTAAAATATTTTATTTTAAAGTAATAAAAGAAAAGTAATTAAATTAATATATATTGATAAATATATTAAATTAAAAAGTGTATTAATCATTACCTTAAAAATTAAATATGCCGAACATAGTAATGACATTCAATTGAGATATTTAGACCCTCACTTCTTCAGATGGAACAGTCCGCTTAAGATAAATTAAGTTGTTCATCATCCTTAAGTAAAAGGTAGAATCCTTTATTTATATTTTACATATTATTATTTTTTATTATCAATATTTTTAAGAATTTTTATTTTTGATTAATACATTTTATAATTTAAAATTTATAAAAAAATTTTAAAATTAATAATCAAACTATTTTTTGTACATTAATTTTATTAGTAATTTAAAATTTTTTACAAGTTTTAAATTATAAAAATTATTAACTATAAAAAATACAAAAAAAGAGTTTGACCTATTAAATGATTAAAACAGATAAATTTTCAAACAACTCAAAAATATTACGAAAACTCTCAGAAGTCATAATTCAGTGAAAATAACTATAAATGTCACAAACATTAAAATAACAGGATACAGCACAAGAGCAAGCAAGATACATGTAACTTCTATTTTTTTGCCGACAAAGAAACATTTACTATTAATATCAAAAATAGAAGTCTTTACATAACACAACAAACCAAAAACACAAATAGAAACTAAAATAGAGCTAAAATAGACACACAAACACAAACACTAAAAGAAAATAAAGGCTAACAAACAGCCCTACGAAGAAAGAGAAGTCCAATCACATGTTTACAGCTCAACCTTACAAATTAAGGTCTTCCATAGCTTGAACCAAGTTTCTATAATCAGGGTGAAGATGAACAAGGGCATGAGATGGAAACGAGGAGTTACAGCTGCAACAAACCGTTTGCGACCAATCTAAGACAGCTACCTCATTCCCAGGAATCATGCATAAAGGACCTTTCTACGATGGCTTTTGCGTGCGTCAAAGCCTATGGGGATTGTGGGGATATTTATGGGACCCACTGCTTGTACGGAAAACACTATTTCGCCTCTCCAATCCATGTACCAGTGGA